GTTCAGACACTCTGCAAAAACATCTACATACAAGCATCTTTCGTTGTTGTAAAATTTGGTGCCGTGACCCGGATATGTAGGAGCACACTGTTGGGCTGAGCGTGGACATGTAGGTGAGCAGTGATTAGGGTTAGGTGTGTCTCTAGGTGTGCGTGCGCCTCTTTAGCATAATAATAGACACTATGTGGCTCACAGCAGGGGAGCGGGGGATTTAGAGGCCAAGGTCTCCTGCGCAAAAAAGCGCAGCCTTAGTCAAATTAGTGTTAAACCCGCTTTGACTCACTTTCCCCGCAGCGACAGCTCCTGGTTCCTGTCAGGACCGATCTGAGCCCCGATCCGGCCGAATTCCTCCGGTGTCTGATCCCAGACCCAGTCCGTCTGTCCCTCCGTGGACCCCCGCGGCGCTCCTGCAGCCTCGGAGCGGAGGATGGATGTCGTCACCCGGATGGATGCAGGGTGGGGCGGTGTCGGTCCGTCCTTCAGCGGGTGGATGGAGCAGGGAGGGGTCCTGATGCTGCTGCTGATGAGGAGGATGATGCTGAGGATGAAGGCTGAGCTGGTCTGCTACTCTCCTACACCGTGCTGGTGGTCCGTGCTGCCTTCAGGAACCCGTCGGAAAATGCAGTATTTGTTCGCCGAGTGACCGCGGTGCGTTCAAGTGAAGTAGAAATTATCTTATTTACTCCTGGTGACGAATCTGCCTGAACTAAAGCTGGACTTTTAGAGACAGTTGGTTCATTTGGTTTGGATTTTGTTTAAAATGTATTTATTTTTATTTATTTGTTTTTACAAAAAGACCAAATCTGGAGGATTTTTTGACATGCCAACTCTGATCTTCTCATCACGCAAATAAAGTTAGGTGCAGAAACACGTCTGTGTGTTAGCAAAATATCTCAGGAACCACTGGCTGGACCGATTTCAATAAAACATTCAGGAAGTAATCATTAAAAATAAAATAAAAAAAGAAGAACGTAATAAATGACTGGGTGTCTACATATCAACCTTTGGCCCTCAGCATGGTCACCACAGCCAGCTAAACTAGGTGACACATAAATGACAAGAACTCAGACAGTTTACAGATGTTGAGTTAAACGTGGCTGAAAGCTGTCATCCTCATTGTGGAAAAAAAAATGTTGGCAGGCTGTTGTGTCAAATTTAAAACTTTTAAAGGTCACTGAAAAACTGATAAAATGATTGAAGACACCTGTAATGCTAATTACAAGACAAGATTAGCATGTCTCTATGGTCAAATAAATAAAGTTTAGGCTTTTTTAAAGTCCAGTTTCATTAGTTTACAAAAGTCATTCTGTTGAGCTGAAATTGTATTTTTGATTACTTTTGTCAGTTTCAAATTATCCCTTTTGTGAGGTTTTTGGTAAATGGCCTGAAAGTGTAGCACTTTATCAGGTCCAAGGACTCCAAACTTTAACACTTTAATTATTCACACGTTGATGGTGGTAAGCTACAGTGTAGCCACAGCTGCCCTGAGGTACATTGACAGAGGCAGGGCCGGGATGCACCGGCGCCACTGGACCCTCTAGCACACATGTGACGAACACAAGAGCCTGCGGGTGACTCCCGTGTGGCCCGTCAGGGAGGTGTACCCCCCCACATATGTGCTGTATATATATA